GTGTGTGTGTGTGTGTGTGTGTGTGTGTGTGTGTTAGCTACAAACTGCTGTGGCTGTGCAGTCAACACACACCAAACGTTACCTTGAACTTGTGTCTGGTACACCACAAAGAACTTGTCATTTCCACAGCTCTCAAACTCTTCCCCAGGGCAGCGGTGGAGACACATGTCCTCGTCCTCCAGCTCATGAAGGGAGAAGAGCGAAGTCGGGAAGCCGCAGTGACACCGGTCTCCAGCCAGAACTGCCAGCGACTTCTCCTAAGATGAAACAACCGTTCTACAGTGACTACACAGAACTACACGGTGCACGAGCCATCAGCACACACACACACACACACACACACACAGCCGGCTCACCCGCTCCGTGCACATGTCCACACACTTGTCCACAGACATGTTCTGGATGACAGCGCTGAAGGGAAGCGCCGCGGTGACATTGTCTGGCCGGTGGAAACACCCTTTGAAAATGGCACTGCCATCTGAAAGAGACAAAACAAACCAAGATGTTACTCACCAGCAGAAAAGAAAAGAAAAAACAAAAAGAAAAGACAGGTTTTTAGGCGACTGAACACAGCTTCCATCAAAACAGCTCCCAGCCACTGACCCCTGATGATGAGATCCCACCGGGACTCTCTGCCAGTCTACTGAGGCCCTGACCTGGCAGCAGACAGAAGCACTAAACAGCGTTTACATCCCTGCTATGTGATGATGACCTTTAACTGAGCGGACGGATGGACCATATATCACAAAACAAGACTAGTTCTTGTCATGATGATGTCCCGTACATTTATTTCTGCTCTTTTTAATTCACTAAAGCTTTAAAACGTTTCACTCAGACATTAAAATCAAAATTAGTGATCATTTGTTTTCAGTAAGGATATTTAAAGTTTCAACCAAAAAATGAGCAGATAAACTGGATTCTTTAATGACACCAATGTTTCAATCATAAAAGGTTAACTGTTTATTTTTTATGTATTTATTTATTTATTTGTATGCAGTTAAACTGGACGTGAAGCAAGGAGGAAGTGGAGTTGTATAAAGATTTATTTGTCCTCTTTTGTTGACAGCAGTCAGTTAGAAGGAAACAATTTGTCACAATCTAAGATCTTATGGCTTTTATTTGTGACTTATATAATACATTAAAGTACAGATGAGATGTTAATCATTTTACATTGTTGAAAACAGTTTATGCATTTCTTTGATTTTCTTTACTATAAATGGTGCTGCACCCTAAACACAAAACCCCCCACCCCGAGAAAATTAGCTGAAAATTTGTGCTTTTATTTCTGTATTTTTTTCCTATTAAAAACTATATTCATGCCTCGTTTCATTTCTTCGCAATAAACGCTTTTCTTCTTTGTTCTGCTGCCTATCAGGTGCTTCAAATATGGATGAAATGTTTAATTCTGTAAACTCTTTCTATTTGCACAAATTCATGCACTTTAACAAATATAGCAAATGTCATCACAGCACAACACAAAATGTCTTAAAATTATTTAGAAAAAAGAAAGAAATATATTAAGGCAAAAGTAGTTTGCACTGAATGCACAGATGGCATTATTCCAGTTAGTGTAATTATTTTAATACATAGACTCAGCATGTGTGAGGTGGTATATCAAGTATGAAGTATATTTTAACGTCAGGTCAGTATTTTTTTTCTTTTTTATGTTTTTTTCCCTCTTCAAAAAGCTGAAGTGACTTTGCCATCTTCCTCTCCTTACCCTTTGAATAAATACAATATTTAATTTTAAAACATACAAATCTAACATTTAATTCTGCTGAATCTAGCTCTTTTCTCCCAGCTTTCTGCACGTTTTGTTTATTGTTAAGTCTATTTCTGCTTTTTTTTTCTCTCACTTCGCCGTTAAAGTGCTGTGTCAGCGTTTCACGCTGGGGTCTTCACCTTTAGCCCTGATGGCCGTCATGTGAGCCTCGTTCCGAGCATCTAAGAGGAAACGCAGGAAATGCATTGCTGTAGCTGTTTAGAGTTTTGCCACCTACAAGTATTGTGGTCGCACTGGCGTTTTCTGACAGACAGTGTAGTTTTTCTTCTTCTTCTTCTTCTTTTATTTTTTTTTGTAAATCTAGTTGCAAGCGGAACAATGATTAAGGTTTACTGTTCTACAGTACTGCAGCTCATACTGAATTTGTTGAAAGCAGAGTATTGATGTGTTTTTCATGTCTGATAATCAGCACTTTCCTGCTATGTTGTGGTTTTTCCTGCCGGCAGTGAAGTGTTTAGAAGTCAGATCACGGCCGGCTACGTACTGTAGGTGGAACAGTTCTTACGGGAATTATGAAAATAACATCGCAGCCCGCTTCCAACTGTAGCAAGAAGCCCCAAATGTTTTTACCACAAAGCTTTGTTTAAAAGGATACATGCGGATCTGTGCAGCCTGGACTACACAGGTCTAATTACTCTCAGAACAGAGTTACAGTATGTGATTAAACCATGGTGACCGGGTCTTTATTGAGTTTGGAAAAAAAATGTGTCTCCTTCTGGAACTTTCTAGACAGCCCAGCATGGGGCAGCTGAGGATTTTGCATGAAGCAGAGACTCACAGCGGCGCGCTGACTCCTGGCTCAGCTCCAGCCTATAGATGGACAGCCTGTTGGCTCCTCCACACATGTTGCTCTTCTCTCCCTTGCACTCCATGTTGCATTCGCTCTCCGAGGCGTTGGGCGCCTGAATCTTGTGGCCGCAGTAGCACTCGGCTCCGAACTCCAGACCTGCATACATGTAGCCTCTGCAGGAACGAAGGGGGAGGGGGAGAGAAAACAGAGAAGATCGACTGATTTGCTTTGAGACTTCAACATGCTGCCCAGTCCTTCCCAGACCAATATGATGTAATCTTCTGTATTACTGGGTGAGCTGTAATCGATAAAAACAAACTAAACATGCACCAGGGATGCTGAGGTACAGAGGAAAATACACAAAAAAGCATTAAAACATCTCTAATTGGTGATGATTTATATATGCTGCAGGCTTCAAAGACAAACCCAGTGATCAATGGTTTGTGATCTAGAGAGTGACTCACGTCTTCCCTTTCTTTATGAAGGATCTAACTCCCAGGAGCCATCTCTCCAGTGCAATTAGACGTTAAACACGGCTCACACAGGACAAATCCCCCCGGCTGCCAGTCAAACCCAAACCTCTGTCGGCCTCTTACGTGTGGCCTCTCATTTGTTTGTCTGTTTTTATTAACCTGCTGCTCTGGGAGAGGAGACAGGCGGGCGGCGAGAAGCATGAACCAAGAGGCGAGGAGAGGGAGCTGAAAACAAGCGTCTTCCTCTGCTCCTATTCTCAGCTCTGTGAATCAGTGATGGGTGTAATTTAATGCATTTGATAGAGCCGTCCCCGTGTATTCCACGGGGAGGAGAAAAGGAGGTGAGGAGGATGGTGTTGTAGAGGAGGGAGACAGGGATGGGAAGGAAATAGCGGAGCGAAAAGGAGAGGAGATCGATGCTTTCAAATATTTAGCACATATTTCTGTTTAGAAAATGACTGAAAAATCAATTCATCAGGAAATCTTATTAGTTACTGTATGTTCATGTAAAGAGTACTGGGATCTTGTGTAAATTTACTTTATTATTGTTAATATTAATACAATTAAAGATAAATATGACAGCAGCATACTGTGCCCTAAGTGTGACACGTTACCTGCTATACATTGTGTATCAGAAAAAATGATACTCTCAGAAAAATTGCCATAAAATGAACATAGATAATAATTTTGAAAATGTGGGTGTAACGTTTAAATAAATAAATAAATAAATAAATAAATAAATAAATAAAACAAATGGCCACTTCACGTGTTTGCTAACCCTTGGTTATGATCTACTCAAAAATGAGATGTTTTTGTTTCAACGTTAGGACATGAAAGGGTTAATTATTTTAAAAACGCCTTGACAAGAGTGTAAAACACCACCTAAACTTTAAATTTTATGTGACAGATCGTATTTTAACCCTCACATTTCCTTGCGCAAAGGACATGAATTTTGTGAATTTCCAACTGTCCCTGCTCACCGGAGCGTGAAGCGTTAACTAAGATTTCAGTGTCATTCGAAGCAGAATGATCCCCTCTACCAAAGGTTATGCCCACATTTTCAAAATTATTATCTTTGTTAATTTTATGGCGATTTTTCTGAGAGTATCATTTTTTCTGATACACGCTGTATTACATGGAAAACCTGCGTTCGGGTCATTTGTGGACACAAAAGAATAACAGCCAAGCAACTCAAATCAACCCATGATAAAAGTGACATGATTGATGAAATAAACAGACTTCATACCTTTGAGCTTTTAAACTGATACTGAGAAGATTTAGGCTCAAGTCCATTAAATGTATAACTTGTTCTTAGTTTTCAAAAAGAAAAAAATTGTGTAGGAAGAAGTCTCTTGGAGAAGAGACGAAACGTTTCATTAGAGAAGGACCCGTCCAGAAGACCTATACAATTTTTTTCTTTTTGATTTTTTACCTGGATGACTGAGATGCATCAGGACATGTTCTTAGTTTTCTTTTTAATGTACTGTATTTCATATACTTATGATTCCTAATTCCTTTTTGGGTTTTAAAGTCTAACTAAGTAACTTAATGTCCTGATGCATCTCAGTAATCCAGGTAAAAAATCAAAAGGAAAAAAAAATTGTATAGGTCCTCTGGACGGGTTCTTCTTTAATGAAACGTTTC